TGCACTAATAGATTGCTTGGTAGCTTCTGATCATTTTGGATCCTTGTACATTGAATCCTGTACAATGTAAGCCTTTCTGACAACTTTACTTGACTTCAGATTAGAGTTTAGAAATTGAAAGGCCTTCTATTTTAGGTAATATTTTCTAGTTTGTATGGCTCTGAATAGTAATTTTCATATTTAAAAAGATGGCCTCAGAAGTCTTATGCAAAAAACTCTTTCTACAAGGACAAGTAATGCTAAGTGCCCTGGTTCCACAGTGTCCTCTGTTGGGCCCTAGCTGCTCCACCTACCATTACTAGCTAGTATAAGGTATTACATTCTAGTGCACTCCAGCCCTCCACCATATTAAGTGACTGCTCTGTCTAATGCTGGAGAGTACACCTATCTTGACAATGTAACCTTCCCTTAGTAGTTCAGTGCTAACGGAAGCTACAGATCCATATAACAAGCAAGTCTTAACCTGGAGTGAAAGGAGCAGGCTTAAGCACAAAGTATTAATATATGGGCATTAGTGATAAATATAGGTTGTGAAATATGAATGTTGAGGTATATCCGAAAAATATGTACATCTAACTAGTTCAATCAAACAGCTTCTCTCCTCCATGATAAAAACAATTATATACTGATTTAAGATGAGTGGGATTTACAGGCAACACTGGATAGTGACAATAGAAACCCCTCCACATTTTATATTGCCTGTACCTTGGTTATTTCTTTTTCTATGATTTTGTAACTAAGATTGCTATCAAAACTCACAGTTAGCACCTTTAAACTGATCATGAATTTAAATCTAGTAGCATACATACCAGTATAGATCAAGGGCTTGAGTCTCTTCTCATTTGCACTTGCTTATTATATTGGGTGAAATCCCAGACTCCGAGTCCATGGCAAAACTCTGATTTCTGGGGGTGGGGTATTCACCTCTCAGTGGAGTTACAATTGATTTATGCCAGTTAAATTGGATAATTAGACTGTTAGTTTGAACACCAAAAATTAACAGTGTGTTTAGTGCTTTGTGTCATAAGTAGTGTCAGCAATTTCAATTTGTGGCATACTCATCTTAGCCTAATATTTGTATGAAAAGAAGAACTTTGTTTTAAAGACACCTACCCTGCTGCTCTCCCTCAATTCAAATCAGCTCTGTATACAAAAATCCATCATTTCTACGGAAACCACTTAGATGATGATAGCTTCAGGTGGGACATAAATGGAGTAATTTAGCCTTTCAGAATAATATTTTAATATTTATAGAAATGTAATTGATAATAAAGAAAATGCACTCCAATGAAGTTTGTTAAAAAAAATATTTAATTTAAGCCCTCCATTATGTGTTAGTATCTTGGAAACCAATCATTAGATCAAAGATCACCAGACAAAAAAGGGAATTTGAATTAAATACACTTATGCTAAAGCTGCAGGGGAAGCCAGATGATATAAAAAATTATGACAAGTTTAACTCTACTATAAGAAAAAGCACAAAATTGTACACTAAGAAATTTTAGTGCTGAAAATAGCCACACCTAAAGTACAGTACAAACCCTGAGCTAAGGCACAAAAATTCAAATTTCATAAACTAGTTTAAGGAAGATCTATTTCTTGTTGTGAAATAGAGTTGATGGCGAATATTTCGAAGGGTTTTATTTAATCTTTGCAACTCAATTAGTCTAGCATTAGAACTCTAAATTTCCCAGTTCAAGATAAAGGTTTGAATAGCATCTATTTCCAAATTAGACAGAATAAACTGTTTATGGTCCTTAATAAATGAACCTTACCACATTTTCTTTTTATTCTTAAATTTTACCCCCTATATTGTAACGTCCTTCTGATGAACACCAATGCCTACTCAGGATAGGAATGTTTCAGTCATTTCACCAGCAACCATTGTTTTATACAGTGTTCTTAATACAAAAGTAATCAATTTTAACTGCTGTGAAAGCCTCTTCATATTCATCACTTCTTGAGATTGAGGATGGGTTACTGAATTTCTCTACACTATAACTTTTACAGCATTAGGATAGCTGAAATATATTTGCTCTATAATTTGGCATAAAGGCAACATCTGTCACAGTTGCAGAACTAGCCACATCTCTGGACTCTAAGTGCACCTCCTTCAGATATGAGGCCTTGTGCTTTTATTTCTGTTGAGTGGAATCATAGGATTCTTCCACTCCTACAATAGGTCCTAGGCCACATCATCCCATTGATCAACTGTGCTTACCCAGCAGGCCCAAGTGGTTTAGGCACCTGCAAGTCTTCCCTTCGGGAGCCTGAGACCAATGTATAATACAGGAGACCAAACAGCTTTCGCAAACCAAAGTATTTTTAAATCTTCTTAGTAGGAACAAAGCATGTCTACCCACCTAAGGTTACCATACCACGGAAGTTTAAGACATAACTACTTCACATCCTCCAGCAATCAGTTTGTTTCCCCTGAACAGCTCCCTAACAACTGCCTCCCCCTCTCTAAAGTGAATTTTTAATAATTTAAGGTGTGTCTACACAGCAGCTGGCTGATTCCCAGCACAAGTGGACATACACATACTAGCTCTATTTGAGCTTGAGTACTAAAAATGGCATTGTGGCTATGGCAGTCAAGCTAGTCGCCCGAGTACAATCCCACCTGATGTCCTGGGTAAGTACTTGGGTGGCTAGCCCAAGCCATTACTTGTGGCATCGCAGCCACGCTGCTCTTTTTAATGTGCAATCTTGAGCAGAGCTAGAATGTGTATATTTACTCCCTTTGGGAATCACAACTCCCAGCTGCTGTATAGACACTCTCTTAGGGGCCTTTTGATCTTTTTGGCAGTCAGACTGAGTTTTGTAATTTTGCTAGCACCTAGCAGTACCAACTTCACAGCTTAGTAGCTCAGGCATGGTCTCTTAATGATCCTAAAAATGTTTACATTGAGGTTGCTTATTTCCCAACTGCCTACTATTAAACTAAACCAACATATGCATACAATAATCATACCAATAAAGCCATACTGTAACTATCCCAATAACTAGGTTACAACCGTCTCAAATTAAATTTCTCTCTGAAGTACTTGTTTCCCTCCAATCAGTGAATTTAATGAAGCTACCATCAAAAGGCTATAGTTACAAAAGGCTATTTTTAGTCAGAATTATTCAGTGCACAGAAAAAAAAATCTTTAAAGAAGGAGGATAAATGGCTATTATCAGGAAGTTTTATTTTGAGTACAAAAGCAAATGTTTCTCTTGAGTGATATGTTTCAAAGTCACTGAATTTTTTTTCTCCTTAAAAAAAAAATGATGTGGGTATTTATATATCAACCTTTCCTATGTTAAAATACTTATTAAAAATTCTAGTCTTGACATGAAATTAGTCTTTTACCACTCTTATTGTGGATTATATATTTACTATTGCTGTAGTGCATATTAAGACTACAAACAGACTTGTGTTTTTCAAGTGTCTGGATAAAGCTGTAGGGCTCCAATGTTTTTTTAAAGAAAACCTTAAGCACAGGGATGAAGAATTTTTAAGCCTCTATCTAATCAAGGACCAAAACCTTCCCATATTTTTAACCAAATAAATCAAGTCATGAAAGGTTCAGATCTCTAATGTTTGTAAGGATGATAGGGTCCATGCAATGCTTTCCCTCTTGAAGTTATAACCTGGTGTGAAAATGAACCTCTGGCTCAACAGCCTTAATAAAAAATAAATAATTATTCATTAGCATTCTATGGTTTTGAATCCAGAATCAAGGTAACACTGATTCTATTTGAAGGCCTAATTTCAATCCCCATCTAATTTCACCAAAATATCCTTTGGCCTGAAAATTCTTACATTTAGGCTAAACATATTTTTGGTGAACTTTGAAGCGAAGCTGTCAATCTACTGTCATTCACTACCTTGCATCCTTTACTTACTGCAAGAGATGAGACAAAATGGCTATTTAAGACTGCAAACTTTAATTTGGGCCACTTCACTTGTGCATAGATCAAGGATAGAATGATGACTCAAAGCTGTTATCTTCAACTATATTAAACTTGGTACCCACAAGGAGTCCAGACTGATCTAGACAAAACCTGTTTCAATAGTATTTACTGTATAGTGCAGATCCTCCATCCAAAGTAACAAGGATGGTTACTTTTTTTTATAAAATGGAGAAGCAGTACATTAATGCCACTTGATAAGAGTTGTGAATAGAGCTCAGCTGCAATTTAAGTCCCATGCTGTACCCATGAAATAATACTGTCTTACACTTGCTCCTACAGAGGCCCTTTTTAACCAGAACAGTAGTAAGATCAAGGCAAAATAAAAACAATTACTTACAGTCTGGTCCTTCCAAATTGAGATATGGTATGTCCATTACCCTCATAAGAAATAACCTGAGGCAAAAAGGAGAAGTGTCACTAGCAAACTTATGCCATACAGCTCTCTTTAAGAGGCTATTATAAAACTTAACAACACACTGCTTCTCTAAGGTAGCCAGGAGCAGTACTAGTCACTCTAAGCAATGGAAAGCTTCAGTCCCACTAATAAATTAAAAATCAAAAGATGTAGTGAGTATCCCATCAGCTAGCTCACTCCATGCTGTGCAATTATTTTAAAGTAAATGTTAGTTATCTTACTGACTTGCTCTAAAACCGATATGACTAGTGTTAAGCAACAGAGAATCCTGTGGCACCTTTAAAACTAACAGATGTATTGGAGCATAAGCTTTCTATTACATGCATCTGACGAAGTGGGTATTCACCCACGAAAGCTTATGCTCCAATACATCTGTTAGTCTTAAAGGTGCCACAGGACTCTGTTGTTTTTTTACGGATCCAGACTAACACGGCTACCCCTCTGATACATGCCTAGTGTTATTAAAATAGGAAAGAAAATGTGAATAGTACACACAAATTTCAGAATAATCCAGTAATTTACTGGTAGTGCATAAAAGCAGTTAAGTAATTAAAAATTGATTACAGTGTGGAAGGAGTCAAGAAGCACTAGCTTAAATATGTTGGAGAGGGGGGCCATAGGAGTCAGCTGTTAATGTACTGTAGCTCTGTCTCTTCCTCCTCTACCCACAACTTCCCCAGCACCCTCTGTCCCTATCTACATTGAATGGAACTGGAGAGCTTAAAAACTGATAGCCAATAATATTTTAGTGGAGAACAATGAGAGATCTGTCCAAATAAAAGCTGCCCCCTCTAAACTATGAAAACTACAGGCATGTCTACACTACAGAGGCACAGCTATGGTGCTGGAGGTCTGTAGTGTAAACACTTGCTACAGTGATTAAAGGGGTTTTTCCACTGAAGTAGTTAATCCACCCTCTGAGAGGCAGCAGCTGGTCAATAGAAGAATTCTTCAGTCGACCTAGCAGCATCTACACCAGGGCTTAGGTCTGCTTACCTACGTCTCTCAGATGGTGAGAAAAATTCACAATGAGCAATGTACATAGGTCATCCTAAGTTGTAGGTGTAGATCAGGCCTATGTAATGGAAAGTAAGTTTTTCATAATTTTGATTCATATTTAAATAGTGCCTCTCTTTATGATCTATCTGGTTAAAATTGTTAGCTTCAGCATGCAGTAAGCCAGAAAACAGAACAGGATGACCTGAATGGTTTTTAATTTGATAGAAATCAATGCCACTCCACATTAGAAGCACAAGTCTCTACCTGCATAACAGTTTACTAAATAAGAGAGGGGTATATGCTGCACACACAAATAACCATTCTGTTAAGAGAGAAGCCAAGTGATGCTTGAGATTATAAATGGAATGCATTCTGTCACATTTACTGTCCAGGAGCTCTGAACATCTGAACTAAACATCTACAAGCTATTTTGTCTCTTTCACTAATGAGATTTCCATCCGTATGGCTGGACTTTTTTCATTAAGGTTCATTAAAAAAACAAAAACAAAAAACAAAAAAAGACACACACAAAAACCACACCACGGGAATTTCAGAAAGTGTTAAAACAAGAAGAATTCTCAGACTGATACCAAATTGGTGCTATGTTATTCCAAAGTCACTAGCCCCAGCTCTGCCTTCAGCCCAAGCTCCACTGCTGAGGAAGCCCTGGCTGTGCAGTAATGGAGGGGAGAAAGATTCCATTAATGGGAGGGTGCAACTGGAAACGTTTGCACAGCACTGCTCTAGAACTTGCATAATATTATTAACAAAATATCCCAGAAAATGAAGTACATTAGACCAAGGAAACAGTCCTATGACAACAATTCCACTTAATATCTGATCCTTGCCTCATCCAAGGTGGGTAGAGTTGTGGGAGACACTGCTAGCAGAAAGGAAATAATTGGTAAGAAATTTTCCATTCTGCTCCACAGCATCTCCCACAATACTGGACATCGGGGAAGTAGTGAGGAGTGAGCAAATGTAGGGAGGGTTATGATAAAAATTTTGGTAGATATGTACCCCCTTTTCATGAGCCCAATCAAAGGTCTATATTATTTGGTTATGTTTTTCCCATTAGAAGTCAGAAATCACTGCAACTTTGGGGGGCAAGTCTGGATTCAAACTGATAGTTAAAAGATTTTGTATTTCATTCTGAGCCTTCATCCAGAACTATTCTGTTCACCGATTTTAGTTTGCAAACTGAAGACTATATTTTGAATCAAGATTTTTATACACTATGGCAAACATAATATTTGAATAACTGGGTCTGTTATATGAGAATGACATTTTTACATAGAAAATCTGTACACTGTTTAAGTTCTCTAAGAACTAAGAGCAGGGTAACCTAGTTTAAGTGCTCTATTTTTTAATTGACAGTAACAATTTAAGTGCACACTACTATAGTGTGTTTGACCTAGTTATGCATGTTTATAGTATATTTGCACCTCAAAAATGGAGAAAAATATTTAGTTATAAAAACAATTCTGCAAGGTATGTATCATGATTAAGGCTAAGTTTTTGTCACAGATATTTTTAGTAAGAGTCATGAACAGGTCATGGGCAATAAACAAAAATTCACGGAAGCCCGTGACCTTTCCCCGACTTTCACTAAAAATATCCCTGACAAAATGGATAGCACCCACTGCTACTGGGGCTCCTGGGTCACCCACTGCTGCGGTCACTGGGAGCTCTGGGGTCCCCCACTGCTGTGGGGAGTGGGAGCTGCAGGGTACCGCCATGGCTGGGCAGCTGCAGGGTGCCCCCACCATTGAACGGGCTGAGAGCTGTCAGCCCGTGCAATGGTGGGGGCAGGGGTAGAGGGAGGGAGACTGGCTGGGAGCAGAAAATGTCATGGAGGTCAATGGAAGTCACGGATTCTGTGACTTCCATGATATAATCGTAGCCTTAATCATGATGAATCCATGTATAAAGAGACCTTATATAAGTTAGCAGTATATGTACCAAATACAAACAAGTTCATTCTGTTAAAAAGTATGTGTTAGGTTGTCTTAGTTCTAGTTAATGCCCCCTCGCCATTTTAAATTTAGGAGCGATTCCATGGTTGAAAGATACAACAGCTAAAAATTAATGGAGTTATGCAAGGTTACCTCAGAAGCAACTCCATTTGTTTGAAGATTCAGCACAGCCATTTGGCTTAAAGTAAAAATACACAGTACATTTCACAACAGGCAACATAGCTTACTGCAATTCTTCCCATTAGCTCAGCCAAAAGACAAGCTTCTAGGATCAACAAGACCATTGCTAATGGTTTTCAAATCTGCTGAAAGCTTGGTAAAGGTACTGAACTGAAGCATACAAGTAACATTTAGAAAAGATTGATCAACTGCTTGTTCTAAATACTACATTTTATTTAAATTTAAGAAATTGGGTAAATAAGCTTATGAGCAGGTATCCTAGTCTTCCCATGATAAACCCACAAAAATTCTCAGATAAAAATATAAAAATCAGTCTTTTCCCGTGATTAAAATGAAACGCTGAATTTTCGTTCCCTAGCCACAATATACACACACAGACACCAGCTGAACACATCTTCTTGATATATTTACCATTTTAAGCAAGTTCAAAGCCTAACAGTTTCTCAAATCATTCTAATAAAAAAAATACAATTACTATTTGTATGTCTTACATACACTAAATACTTATGTCTATATTCCATTTCTTCAGAAAGTTGGTTTTTTTAAATGCACAAATAATAAAGCAAAAATTGCTTCTATATTAACATTGCTCACTTTCTGAGTTAGTCCTGGCAGCTCAAGTGAAATTTGAGATGCATTAAAACACAAATCCCTTCATGCCATTGAGTAACCTCTACACGCCAGAGGTTTATTGGAGTATGTTTAGCTGTGTAAATTTAAAGTGCATTCAAAAAAATCAACCACAGAGGGGGAGGTTGCGTGCACTGAATAAGTGACACTGGTACTTTCAGTAAAATTTAATTAATAGTTCATATATGTTTTTATTTTTTCACAAAACGTAAAAACTGAAGATTCTATGTAAATATGCAAATTCTGCATTTTTCCATGGCCAATGGATTTCTAGGATCCTTACTTATGAATAAAATACTGTTTTTTGCAAGTCAGTCATCCTTAGCTATTTGACTTACTTTGTATTACAGACATCACCCTCTCTTGTCACGTAGTCACTACTGACACACATTCAGGTTTATCTTAATATTGTGTTGAATAGCATTTATGAAGTCAGAAAGTAAAGGTGCTTAATAGAACTAAACTGGCATTTAAAACTTAAGTCCAAACCCAAAGTATTTATTGTATGATTTTCTGTACGGAAGCTAGAAGCAGGAACTACATTTAATCACTACAACATGTAGTGGAGAAGTAACAGGTGCTCCAAGTTTAACATTGGATTTATTTTTACCGCATGAAAACATATTGCTTGACTGCAGATTTGTACTAGGCTGAAATCTGATTAACTTAAGTTCTAAAATGTAGCTATGTTTTCTTATCTTTATACAGCTACCACACAAGCAAATCATAAATCCACTGGAGAAGTGATGTCCAATATAATGTTGTAAAGCTGAAGCGCTCAACGTGTAGGTCATGACCATATCATCCTCTTGTAGTCTACAAGTGGGTGGGGTAGAGAGGTCTCAAGCCAGTTCTCATGCCCTGATCTTGGTTTTCCTCTAAAGTGATTTGCTTAGTCATTTAAAAATATCCCTCCAACATCAAAACCACCAACCATTCCATAGATTTCAACGGCACATCCCTTGAAGTTCTGTTCAGCTTCCTGCTTCTGACTGAATGAAATAACTACTTTTTATAAGTTAATATGCAATATTTATACCCAAAATGCCCCCCCCCAACCTCAACACACACCACTTTGCTTTACAGGGAACATTTTTCATCTCAACTGTTAAAAAAAATAATAATAATACACCTAACTAGATTTACAGATTTTTAACGCCAGAAAGGACCATTGCAATCATCTAGTCCGGTAA